GAAAGCGCTGTAGATCCTTGCTGCTCAGAGGGTGGGCCCCACACCTGTGGCCCCACACTGCCTCACCTGAGAGTTTAAAAAGGAGCCCTGGGCCCGCCTCAGAGGTGTTGAGTGAGACTCTGCAGGCCAGCGCGGCTCCCCTGTGGCAGGAGTGCAGAGGGGTGTACGGAACCCTGCTCTAGGTGGCACGCTCTCTTGTCTCATCACGACAGAGGGCAGCAGGCCTGAGTTACTCAAACAGTAAGAACCGCCACCCTCACCACCACGTGCAAGGCTCTGCTGGAAGCCGGGCATGTGCCTGCAGTTGCTCAATCCTCATGACGCCTGTGATGGAATAATGGCTCAAACTACACCCTGAGAAACACATCAGATTATTATCCTGGGCGAGCCCAGGACAACCCTTTGGCTCAGAGACAGAAGGCACCTGCCAGAGATCATGCAGCACAGGTGACAGAGCTGGGTTCTGTACCCGGAGCATCTGTGGGGGAGATGCATGCTTTGACCTCTCCATGGGCTGGAGGGAAACAGAGGCCAGAGCTGGAGTGGGCGGGAGAGGCTGCTCCCCTCTTCCCCCAGCCCGCTGCTGTGGGCGGATGGCTGGCCAGGCACAGAGCCAGCCTGTCCTGTCTGCTACCTGCCATCTGTCCCTCCATCTGGCTCACCAGTGGGTGATGGCAAAGGGGCAGGCAGCGCCCAACTCACCTTTGTCCACTACCTCAATGTGGATCTTCTTGACAACGCTGGTGTTGTGCTCATAGTTTTCGAAGAAGAGCAGGCGGTAGACGTGGCACTCATAGTCGCCCGAGTGGTTGTAGGTGACGTTGGTGATGAAGATAGACAGATCCTGCAGGTCCTTGGTGCCCCGGCTGCCATTCCACACCACGCGGCCCTCGAAGCGCTCGTCCTCCTCCAGCTGCAACACCTCATTCTCATAGCGCAGGATCTAGGGGTAGCCAGGGAGGGGGAGGTGTCGCTGCCTGGGCCTCTCTTCCCTCACCTGACCCTGATTCTCTCCCCTGCCGTGACACCCACAGACACAGATGGTACATAGATGGGCTCAGATGCCTTGACCTCAGGCAGAGAGGGCACAGGGGTGGGGGGCGGGGGCTAGGATCATGCCTGGAGTCATCCAGACCCCGCTTTTGCCTCCAGCCGAGATGCACCTGTGCACACACACGTTCCTCAGTCATCCTCTCAAGCCCCATCTGGCCTCTAGGCCATCATTCTCTGCAGTTCTTTCCCAGCCACCAGACACACTCCTCCAGCAGGGACAGGGCAGTCTGATCCCCGCAGCTGGAGACCCCAATTCTCCAGCACGTCATCGAAGTTTATGGTTCCCTCTCCCATATGTAATGCAAAATACACACGTATTTCAAAGGAGGTTAAAAAAAAAAGAAAAAAGTTCTGTCTTCCCTCTGTAATGACTATCTGAGACATTGTTTGCTGGTGCCAAATAAGTCCATTGACATTTATTTCGTGCCAACCATGTGCCAGGTGTGTCAATGCATTCGGTCCTCACGCAAACCTATGGGCTAGAGACCACTGCCACCCCATCTCGAGGAGGAAACTGACTTTCAGAGAGGCTCACTGATTTGGCCAAGGTCACCAGCTGGCCACTGGCAGAGCCAGAATCTGAATCCAGGTCAGCAATCACAGCATATTATTAAAACAAACAAACAACCCCCCTCCCTGAGATCCAGCCCCACTGCCTCCCACAGGCGGATTTCCGCCATCCCACACCCGTGCCCGGCACCCACACACCTTGACAAACTCCTCAGTGCCCTTCTGGCGGAAGGTCCACTCGGTGAAGGTCTCAGCGGTGGTCTCGCTGCGGCGCTTGCAGGAGATGCAAAGAATTTTGAAGGTCATCCCATACACGGCCTCAGTCTCCGAGTCCACCTCCACGCAGCCCCCCCAGGCTGAGGACACTGTGGGGACAGCAGGCTCAGGTCAGGCAGAGGCACCCATTGCCCTAAGCAATGCCAGACCCCTCACAAACCATCTGTTCCCCCCTCAATGATGACCAGCAGACGGGACTGGATGCCAGGCTAAGCCCTGTCACTCACTGTGTGACCTCAGCAAGTCATTCGTGTCTCTGGGTCTCAGTTTCCTTCTCTCTTGTTGAAAGAAACGGTCCTCTGCTTCCAGCATTGGCTGGGCCCATTTTCATACATAAAGTAGGGCCTTGTACATGGGAGGCCCCATAGGGACTGTCAACGTTGCCAGTAACTCAGACTTTTTGCTACCCGAGAGCCCCTTCTCAGAAAGTCCCTTGCTGGAGGAACCCAAGCACCTAGGTGGTAGAATGACACTTCCAGCTAAGTTAGAAGTTCAAGGTGGCAGTCGTTTTCACCATTAAATTGCAAAACCAGCTAGCTCCAGGAGAAACGGGTTGGGAGAAAAGAAGGGCGGGGGGTGGGGGATTCTGGGGAGGTGGGCACTGGAACTGGGGCTGATCCACACTCAGCCCCTCTTCCCAGCCCCACAAGCCCCTGTGTGAGCCATCCCCTCCCCAGCCTCTCCTGCTTCCATCATCCCCTCTTCCCCAGGGCCCTCGCCTCTAGATCTCTTCCCACCCCAACCCCATCCACTACTCAAAGCTTTCCTGAGCTCTCTCCTGCCCCAGGGCCTTTGCACCCCATGGAATTCCAGTCTTAGAATTCCTTCACTCTCTTACCTGGCACCTCCTTCCTGCCTCCTAGCACTCTGTAGCTAACGCTGTGTCTCTTCTGCTGCAGCCCTGTGCTGTCCTTGTCTCCTGATCCTCAGGACTTCTCATCCATCCGCCCCTGCTGCGGTCCCTTTCAGACTCCCTGAGGGCCTCTGTCTCAGTCCCTCCCATCTTTGTCCCTCTCAGGGGTCTCTCTGAAGGTCCCTCCACTTTGTGTCCACTCTCTGGGCTCAGAAGGAGACCTCTCCTAATCCCTTTCCACCTTTCCACGTCTATCCCTTTTAAAACTCCATGCCAGATTCTCTCCCGGTGTTCACGGGCACCCCCATCTCCCTCTCTCTTCTCTCCATCTCCTTCTGCCTCTCTCAAGTTTCCCTTTCTCCATCGCGCTCAGTCTCTTAACTCTCTTTCTTTTTCTTTCTCTCTCTCTGTCTCCAATACCCCTCTCTCTGTCTCCGTCTCCCCCTTGACCCCCACGTCCCCAGCCTCCCAGCGGACCACTCAGGTGCGCTCTGAGTCCTTCTCTGTCTCTCGCCCCCTTCCTCCCGTCTCCATCTCTCCCTGTCCCTCCGTCTTTCCTGTCCCAGTCTCCGGGCGCCGCCTTCCCCCCACCCCCCTCCCGCGGCTGTGGGTGTCACATTGCAGCCTGCGGGGCTACGGGAGCAGCTGACTCCGCGTTTTCTCGCCCCCGGCTGGGCGCCTGCAGCCGCAGGGCTGTGCCAGCCCGGCCCCCGCCCGCTGGAGCCCACCCGCACCTCCACCGCCCTCCCCAAACCCGGCTCCCGCGCGCACAACTTCTGAAGCTGACTTGGCGGGGCCCGGGGTTGGGCCGGGGGCGGCCCTCGCGCGACTGCCCCGAGTCCCGAGCGCCACTCCCGCCGCCCCACCAAGCGACCCCGCGGTGCCCCTGGCCGCGCGCGCCCCCTGTGCACTCACCCAGTGCCGCGCCGACCACTAAGGCCAGCAGCCTCCCCATGGCTGCGCGGCGCGTGCTGCGCCCCCCTCCCGGGCCGCCGGTATTAATAGCGGGGCGAGAGGCGGCGGGACCCGGCGGCGGTTAGAATGTCCCCGGGAGCGCGCGGGCGCAGCAGCTGCGGCTCTGGGACCGGCGAGGGGGGAAGAGGGGGGGCGCGGCCCCCCCGCTCCGGTTACCGCCGGGGGCCCAGCCCCGGGGCCCGGCGTCCGGGCATCCCCGCCGCGCGGGCGGCGGCCGCTGCTCGGGCTGCTGCGCTGGCGCGCACAGCCGGGCACATCCGCTAGGTGCACCGACCCAGGTCCCGCTTCGGCTCGGGCGCGCTCGGGCGCGGACCGCGGTCTCCTGCGCACTGCAGCGACGGCGGCGGCGGCCTAGGGAGGAGGGAGGAGAGGGAGGGGGCGGGATGAATCACCGCGGGGGGAGGGCGCGGTCGCCCAGCCTTTGCCGCAGCGGCCCGGGAAGCGGCCGCTGCACGGGCCTCTCCGGGTGGCGCAGGGACAGCGACTTCTGGGAACGCGGCGGATGGTCCGGGTGTCTCCGACTCCGCTGGGGCTCTGAGGACCACACCCCCACCTTCCCAGGGAGTCTGGAAAGGTCACCCCCAGAATCACAAGAGGACTTGGAGCGCAGTTCGGGAGCCGGGTTTCCGATTTCAAATCATGGAGGTCATCCTCAGGAGTTCAAGGAAGCGAACCTCCGAGTGATCTCCCCTCAGAGCCCTGATATCCAGGCCTGGGGGTCACTGTGCAGGGACCCCCAAATAGGCATTAGAGGAAGGTGGGGGCCGTCAAGCTAAGACTACAGCTACAATCCAGACCTCACCCAAGCAGGCGGGGCACCCTGGGCAGAAGCAGCCCCGGGGATCTGGAGGTGCTGTTTCAGGAGGATGACCCCTTCAATCCTCTGCACTCCTTTATGTCCCTGATGTCACCTTCTACCCCTCTTTCCTCCCACTCCACTCTGGCTGTTCAGGCCCTCCTGCTGTTCCCAACACAGGGAACCCATTCCTGCCTCGGGACCTTGGCCCCTGCCCTCCCCTCTACCCTTTGGCCCCTGCCCTCCCCTCTACCCCTGCTCTCCTTGCTGCCCTGCCACTCTCCCTCCGCCTCCATGGCTCCAATGTCACCTTCTTTAGGTCTTGTGTCGCTTCAGGGCAAACTGCCTCCTCCGCTCCTAACTTGACCTCCTTTACTCTTGTTGAGTGTTTTTCATAGCAGCCTCACTACCTGACATTATGTTTTTGTTTTTTTGTTTTTGTTTTTTTTCTTAGGGTCTGGCTCTGTCGCCCAGGATGAAGTACAGTGGCGTGATCTCGGCTCACTGCAACCTCTGCCTCCCGGGTTCAAGAGATTCTCCTGTCACAACCTCCGGAGCAGCTGGGAGTACAGGCGCGAACCATCATGCCTGGCTACTTTTTTTATTTTTTAGTAGAGACAGGGTTTCACCATGTTGGTCAGGCTCGTCTGGAACGCCTGCCCTCGGGTGATCCGTCCGCATCAGCCTCCCAAATGCTGGGATTACAGGTATGAGCCACGCGTCGCCTTCCCAGCACTTTGGGAGGCCAAGGGCGGGAGACGGGGAAGATCACCTGAGAGCAGGAGTTCGGGACCAGCCTGACCAATATGGTGAAACCCCATCTCTACTAAAAATACCAGAAAATTAGCCGGGAGTGGTGGTGGGCACCTGTAATCCCTGGACAACAAGAGCGAAACTCCCTCTCAAAAAAAAAAAAAAAAGGCCAGGCGCGGTAGCTCAGGCGTGTAATGACAGCATGCTAGGAGGCTGAGGTGGGCGGATCATGAGGTCAAGAGATCGAGACCATCCTGGCCAACATGGTGAAACCCCATCTCTACTAAAAATACAAAAATTAGCCGGGCGTGGTGGCGTGTGCCTGTAATCCCAGCTACTTGGGAAGCTGAGGCAGGAGAATCGCTTGAACCCAGGAGGTGGAGGTTGCAGTGAGCCGAGATCACGCCACTGCCCTCCAGCCTGGCAACAGAGTGAGACTCTGTCTAAAAAATAAAAAATAAAAATAAATTTTAAAAAATCCCCCAGGTGAGGACACTGTCTTGTGTACCACCATGTCTCTTGCACCTTGAACTGTTCCTGGCACATTGCAGGTACTCAATCAGTATTTGTCAAATAAATGAAAGTCAATGTTCACTAAGCCCTTGGGATTTGCTGAACCCACTTCTACTGCCCCAAATCTTCAGTGAGTTCTATTATCCCCATTTTACAGATGAAGAAACTGAGGATGGGAGGGCCGCTCCCTTGCCCACAGTCATGTAGCTGGCCTAGGATGGATGTGGAATCCTGCCCCAGCAGTGGTAAGTGGCCTATCCTACCAGTAGGTTCTGCCAAATGAAGAAAATAGAGGTGGGAGTTCTGGTCTGTCAGGACCAGGGTGGGAGTGAGACTCTCAGCTGAAGGGTCACTACCTAGGTCCTAGCCTCCAATTCTGGGTAGGGTAAGGTCTCAGAATCCCCCTGGCCCAGCCCTGCCAGACAAGAGGAGCTAGGGTGTGGGGCAGGACTATGGCAGAGGGGCAGGGAGCCAGGGACACCCGACACCTCTGTGGTCTAGACTTTTATGCCAGCGCCTCCTGAGCTGTGAAATTCCCCTGCAGAGAATAACCCTCTTGCTGTTCCGGGCCCTTCCACTGGTGGGGGATGGTAGGTGAAGGCACAGTGAGGACAGGCCTCAGCACTGGACAGGAGGCACCTCACAGCCCTATAAGCTATGTTCAGTGAGCACCTACTATGTATGGGCTTGGTGCTGTTCTAAGCATTCTAAGCACTTTACTAACATGAGCTCATTTAATTCTTCCTATAGGTGATATTATTATACCCATGTTACAGATATAGAAGACTGAGGCTCAGCATGGGTACCTTGCCATGATCACACAGCTAGAGGGTAAGAGGGGCTGGCTCTGCCTCCTATGCCACTCCTGATCCACTCTCTAATCCCTCCTCCAGTCCCCTGCCCCAAGCCATCAGTTAGGATGATTCTTATAGCCAGAGGTGTGACATGCCAAAGATGTCTCTTTACCCCATACACTCACTCTGGAACCAGGACAAGGTTTCAGTGAGGTGGACCTGGGTTCTATCTGGACCAGGGACTTTGCCTCCAAGCTCATTTCCTCATCTGTAAAACAGGGATCCAAACAACTGTCAGCCTGAATGGGCTGTGGTGGGGTCCTGAGGGGGTTAGGACCTTGCATCTAAATGGGGAGACCCCAGAAGTCAGGCCTGGAGTCTGCCTCCCTGCTGGGTAGCCTCAGGCATGTACATCTTTGTCTCCACCTCATGGAGTCACTGTGAGAATAAAATGAACATCAGATCTTGGCACAGAGCTCAGTACGTACGTACTTGGTACTCACTACACGAGTTACTTTTTTCCCTCTATTTTTATGCAATAAGTGTAACATTTATTGAATACTTACTCCATTCCATCTGTGCCAGGCCCTGTTACAAGTAGCCACATTTCTGAACTCCTTGAACCTGTAACAGCAGTTCTCAAAGTGTGGTCTGGGGCTGGGCATGATGGCTCACACCTGTAATCCCAACACTTTGGGAAGCTGAGGCGGGAGGGATCACTTAAGGCCAGGAGTTCGAGACTAGCCTTAGCAACATAGTCAGATCCCATCTCCAGAAAGAAATAAAAGATTAGCCGGCCATGGTGGCTTACACCTGTAGTCCCAGCTACTCAGAAGGCTGAGGTGAGAGGATGGCTTGAGCACAGGAAGTCGAGGTTGCTGTGAGCCATGTTTGTGCCACTGCACTCCAGCCTGGGTGACAGAGAAACCCTAACTTAAACAAACAAAAAAACAAAGTGTGGTCTGGGATGGCACCATGAGCATCCCCTGGGAACTCATTATAAAGGCAGAATCCCAGCCCTGCCCCAGACCTACTGAACCAGAAATTTGGAGGGAGGGGCCCCACAGTCTGTTTTTCATCAAGCCCTCCAGGAGATTCGAACGCAGCTCAAGTTTGAGAACCACTCCCTTCTAACAGCCCTGAGAGACAGGTACTGCCATTCTGCCCATTGCACAGGAAAGGGCACTGGAGCTCCAGGGGGTTGACCTGCTGCAGTTACACCACTGCTAGGAAGCAGGATTTGAACTCTGGCTCCCAGAGTCTGTCCCCGGAGTTCCTGCGTTGACCTCAGATGATGTAAAGCTTGTGTAAGATGCTGGGGAAATTCCAGATCGTTTCAGTGACTATGGCCCCAGAACACAGACCGAGGTCCCCTCCCTACCACGGCGGGATCTGAGTGTAACAGGAGGCTCCCAACCACTCCCAGGGCCCCACAGGCACAGCCACAGCCACTTCTGACCCTTTATTGGGGCACCATCAGCCCCAAATAAATATAATACATTAAACCCAGAGCTGAGGGAACCGTGCACCCCAGGAGGCGCCCCCCACAACCTCAGCCGGGCAAAATAAGTTAGTGGGGGGCCTGCCAGAGGCCGGGCCAGCTCCCTGGTCTAAAGTGCATCTCGGTTCCGTGGCCCCCACGTCTGCACAGCCCCTGGTCGGGCCGTCGGGAGGGAGATGCCTGGCGCTCACACCGTGCCAGCAGTGGCCGCCGAGGCTCTGTGTGTCCATCTGTCCATGTGGGGGAACAGCTGCATGGCTGGGGACCTCAGGAAAAGCTGTCTTCGGGCCGGGGCTGGGTGTCGAAGGGAGGATCTGAGACTGTGATGCCTTGGTGCAGCTTCTCCAGCGAGAACTTCATCTGTGGGGGGGAGGTGAGCAGGATTGGGGGTGAACGCTGGAGGTTGGGGGGTGATGTCACCCACCCCCATCCTGCCATTGAGAAACTGAGGATGGTCTAGAGGCCATACTGCCCCACCCCAGGGTCCCTCAGTGAAAAGAGCACAGCCACGCTGCACCCAGTTTAAATTCTCAGAGGCAGCAGAGGAAGGGGTTTAGTGTGTGCCTGGCACCCCGATGGCCTGGGTTCAAATCCTGGCTCTGATCTTGTTATCTCAGTTAACCTCAGGCACGTCCTGTAACCACCCTGAGTCAAAATCCCCTCATTTGAAATATGTGTCTGTAACACATCTGCTCCATAGGATTATTTCAGGGTTCTGAAGAGCACTGAGAACCCGGTGTATACTAAGTGCTCAGCACATGTTAGCTGTCACCATTACCCCCTCTGTGACCTCGGGCAAGCTCCTGAGCTCCTCAAACCTCTGGATGCCTCATACCGCCTACCTATGTATAAAACCGGGATAACGACCGGGCGCAGTGGCTCTTGCCTATAATCCCAACACTTTGGGAGGCCGAGACCAGTGGATCACTTAAGGTCAGGAGTTCAAGACCAGCCTGGCCAACATGGTGAAACCCTATCTCTACTAAAAATACAAAAATTAGCCAGGCGTGGTGGCGGGTGCCTGTAGTCCCAGCTACTTGGGAGGCTGAGGCACGAGAATCGCTTTAACCTGGGAGGCAGAGGTTACAGTGAGGCAAGATCGCGCCACTGCACGCCAGCCTGGGTAACAGATTGAGACTCTGTCTCAAAAAAACTGGGATAACAAGAGCATCTTCCTCAAAGGCTGGCTGTGGGGATAAGGCAGTCATGCTTAAAACTTAGAACAGGCCGGGCATGGTGGCTCACATCTGTAATCCCAGCACTTTGGGAGGCCGAGGCAGGCAGATCATGAGGTCAGGAGATCGAGATCATCCTGGCTAACACGGTGAAACCCCGTCTCTACTAAAAAATACAAAAAATTAGCTGGGTGTGGTGGCGGGCGCCTGTAGTCCCAGCTACTTGGGAGGCTGAGGCAGGAGAATGGCGTAAACCTGAGAGGCGGAGCTTGTAGTGAGCCGAGATCATGCCACTGCACTCCAGCCTGGGCAAGAGAGAGATACCCAGTCTAAAAAAAAAAAAAAAAAAAATTGGAATAGCCCACAGGTAAGTGCTCAGTCTGCATCTACTCTGAGTACCAATCTGTGACATCAACTCTGCACCCTTGGCAGTTTGAGAGGGAGGAAAATGATAAAAATTTAACTCAGGGCCAGGTGTGGTGGATCACACCTGCAATCCCAGGACTTTGGGAGGCCGAGGCAGGAGGATTGCCCAAGGCCAGGAGTTTGAGACCAGCCTGGGCAACATGGTGAGACTCTGGTCTCTACAAAAAATTTTAAAATTGAAGAGGCGTGGTGGTGCGTGCCTATAGTCCCAGCTACTCAGGAGGCTGAGGCAGGAGGATCACTTGAGCCAGGAGATCGAGGCAGCAATAAGCCATGATCGTGCCACTGCACTCCAGCCTAGGCAACAGAATGAGACCCTGTCTCAAAAGAATAAAATAAAATAACGCAGGATGGGGTGCCCTGCCCACCCTCTCTGAGTGATGGGGCCTCAGCCTTCATCCTCTCCCAACCCCGTCCTGCCCCACCCTTTCCAGTGTGAGCCTCTCCCAAGCTTGATTTCGGGGGGGAATGAGACCCCTAAAGATGGGCCTTCTGATATGGAAGGGTCTGATGAAACAAGGTTTTCACCGTCACCCACAGCTTTAGCTCTGATGGCCTTGGAAATGCAGGCAGTGCCAGACTCTCTGTTTCCCAACCACCTTCCCACTTTGACACCTTCCGCAGTGCCCAACACTTGCTCTGACCCACCGCAACTGCTGGCCTGAGTCTACTGGGGCCTGAGGGCATTGCTGTGTGATGACATCACATTTATTGGGCATCTGCTTTGTCCCTGGCACTAGGCTCACACTCAGGACACCCAGCCCACATCCAGTGTTTCCTGTGGGCCTGGCACCACTCCCAGTGTCAACTTGTCCCATCCTCACAATAGTCTTTGAAGTAGCATCAGTCATTATCCTGTGCACAGAGGCGGCCACGGCCACCATGGCAAAATCGCTTGCAAGAGGTCACACACCGGAATTGGAACCTGGTTGTCTGCGTACACATTGTCCCTGAACTACACTGGGTGTCTGGGTGTCTGGATCCACTCCGTTTTGGAGATGAGACCTCAGATCCTTTGAAGAGTCTCTCCCCTTCAGACCCTGTGACCCCTTAGCTACCCCAGAGCGGGGTAGGGGGTAGAGGGACCACACCTGGCCTGCCCTGGCTGCTGTGATGGGTCAGGGGTGGGCCTGAGACCCCAGCAGGCAATGCGAGTAAGCGCCGTGGTCCCTGGTGGGGGGAAAAGTGTGGCCTCCAATGAAGCCAACCCTGGAGATGGGCACAGGGCAGAGTGAGCACGAGACTGACTCTTACTGCCATTGAGTGACCAAACCCAGCCGCGCCTAACGTGAGATGCCTCTGGACTTTTCTCCAGGACGTGAGCCAATCAATTCTTTCTTCCATCCACGCTTCTGTGCTTTCCCCTGCAATGCTGTGCAGTGGGGACTCTGAGTGGCTTCCTCATTTTACAGAGGAGGACACCGAGACCCAGAGAAGGGAGGTGCCTGCCACATGGTGGAGTTTCAACACAGGACCCTACAGCCCTGGAGCCCCGGGCCCTGCCCGAGCGGCGCCTCCTACCTCATCCAGGAGCTCCACGGAGGCCCGCAGGATCTGCCTCCACTTGTGCACCTCCACGCTGTGGAATTGCTTCTGTAGCGCCAGGATCTCAGCCCACTCTGTGGCCGTCTGGGGGAACTTGCTGTGGAGATGCCGGGCCTGAGCAGGGCCTTGGCCTCCCCCAGTGTGCCCAAGCCCCCCCATTTCCCCAGGCTACCCACTCACCCCTTGGCCAGAGCCAGGCTGTGCCAGGACTCAAAGGTGTGGGCTGTCCTTTCCAGGGACCAGAGGCGGTAGAAAAGCAGGACGTTGAGGGCGATGAGGATGATAAGGCTGGGGACAGGGGTCAGAGGTCAGGATTCCTAGGGTCTAGATGCTCTGAACCCCCCCATATAGCTACACCTTGTAGGGACACCTCTATCCCCCATTGCAGAGGAGGAGAATGAGGCTCAGAGAGGGTGAGACATGCCAGGGTTGCACAGTCCATAGCAGGAAAGTCAGGGTTCAAATCCAGGCCTGTCTGATGCCCATACCCTTGACTGCCATGCCAGGTCGCCTCCCGGGGGGCGTGGGGTGGGGAGAAGAGGCTGCAACAGGGGTGGGGTGCAGGGAAGGGAGGGCAGGGGGAGGACTCAGGACCCTACCTCACACAGATCCTGCAACAGCAGCAGTGAGGGGAGACAGAGAGATGAGCGCCGCCCGGCCTGCCCCCGACACCCCCAGCCCTCCTCGCCCTGGGCAGCTCTGGGCCGAGCGCACCATACCCCCTCACTGGATGAGAGCTGAGAGCTGAGGTTCAGAGGCTGAGCACGTAGCCGGCCTGACCCTCACCTCCCAGGGTCTGCTCAACCCCCGGATCCGGCTTCTGTTTCC